TGTCCACAAAAATAATCAAAGTCTTGTTGAAAATGTCTGGACAAATTTAGTTTCTAATGTTGGGTTTTTCCCTTTACCAGAGGGAGCCTCCTTGTGGAGTACTGTGAAGCCGTTACCATGACAACTCTGCTGTGCTGTACAGTAGAAGCCGTTTTAAGACACAACAGGCTGTATCTTAACAAAACACACACACCGAGGGGTGTTAGGGATGTCTTTCCCCCACAGTATTTGTTTCCAGAGAGTAAATCATCTGTGTACCAAGTTTGATTGAAATTGCTTGAGGCATTCCAGAATTATCCTGCAACACACACACACACACACACACACACACACAGCCATTTATATATAGATGACCCTCAGCAAACCATAATTAAGCATGACCTTGGATGTGGTCAACCCACCTCATAAAACTGTTGGATATGAAAACTTCCATAATTGAGAATGTTCATATACACCTTGAGCTGTCAGGTGGGATATAAATGTATTTGTTCATGAGATTTCTGTACTCCCATATTTCCAAAGGACTCTTGGTGCTCTACCATTGTCTGCCGTGATCAAAGTACGTTATAATAACCTGGATCAATTTAGAAGAGCAACCAAGAAAACCCATTGAAATTATGTCAGTGCTGAAGCAGCAAGGCTGGCTAGGGAATTCTGAGAGCTGAAGTCCACACATCTTAAAGTAGCCGAGATTGCAAAACACAATTCTTCATTAGGAGAGTTGGCTGGGAATCCTGGGAGTTGAAGTCCACTTTTGCTAAAGTTCCCAAGATTGGGGAAAAAACACTGTTGTTGAACTGACCTAGAATTGTTTTTGGTTTCTTCAGCCATGACTGTTCTTTTGAGCCAGATCAAACCCAGCCATGCCTGAATGCACAGGGCATGAATGAAAACGGTGTAGTAATTATTACTCCGCAGCCTTCTGAAATAAAAAGAATGGGAGGTTGCTATGGGAGCCACAGTGGTGGCAGCAGCAACAATAACAGCTCATTTGTAAAAGGCTTGAAATGTTCCCAAGTACAAATTACCTCTTGTTATAATAAATGGTGTTATGGACTGAGATGAAGGCAACATCCCTGGCTGATTGGAGAGCCCAAAACCGTCAGAACGGTTGAGAAGAAGTCAAAGGGGAAGACTCAAATCGTTGAGTTGGTTCACGGAAAGAAGCCTAGCCCTCTTCTGCAGTTTCTCCCCAACGTCTTGGACCTGGGACAATATTGGATCTCAGCCACAAAAATCCAAACTGCTTACCAATGATGCTCAGGATTTTTGCGACTTGGATTCGGTAGCTCTCATGGTAGCAATAAGGTGCAACAGGAATGGAAGTACAGAGAGTCCTTGGCTTACAACCATGTTTCTTCAGAGGTTCCATGGTGCACCCTTCACCACTGTAATGAAGTCCCTCCACCATGCTGCTATTCCTCTCCTCTCTCTATAACTCTTTGGAAGAGTTAAAACATTCTAACACTGG